TGGTGAAACCCTGTCCTTATTAAAAATACAAAGTATTAGCCAGATGTGGTGGTACATGCCTGTTATCCCAGCTACTTGGGAAGCTGAGGCAGGAGGTATCGCTTGAACCTGGGAATCGGAGGTTGCAGTGAGCTGAGATCGCACCACTGCACTCCAGCCTGGGCTACAGAGTGAGTCTGAAAAAAAAGTATTAAATACTATCTAAAGGCTAAAAAATGAGATTTAATCGTAAAAACTTATTAATCTCCAATAACGTGGAATATGGTTGAGTATGATATAGCTTTTATTTGGTACTACCACGAAAGACATAATTTATCTTTTAATAATAGTGAAAGGAGGCCGGGTGTGGTAGCTCACGCCTGTAATCCTAGCACTTTGGGAGGTCAAGGTGGGTGGATTCCCTGAGCTCAGGAGTTTGAGACCAGCCTGGGCAACACAGTGAAACCCTGTCTCTACTAAAATACAAAAAATTAGCAGGGTGTGGTGGTGTGGGCCTGTAGTCCCAGCTAGTCGGGAGGCTGAGGCAGGAGAATTGCTAGAATCCAGAAGACAGAGGTTGCCATGAGCCAAGATTGCATCACTGCACTCCAGCCTGGGCGGGAGAGCCAGACTCTTAATAATAATAATAATAACAGTAATAATGTCAGGAGACGGGTGAGCCTGCACCTTTGTTTTCATCCCTGCTTCTGGAGCTCCACCGCGCCCTGCGTCTTCTTCCCTGTTCTGCCTGTCTCTTTCTGAAATGAGCAACCTGGAAAGGGTTAGGGGCTAGATCTGGAAGCTTTTGTATTCTGGAATTGTTCAAAGGTATTTAGGAGTTGAGCTATACCCGAAGAGCTGAAGACACCTCAGGGGATACCATGAGGAAGATTCCAAAAGTTCTAGCAGGATCAAGGCCTGTTAGCTTTCTTACACATCTCAAATAAATAAAAGTCTCTTTCTGTGTGCCTCACTTCTTGGTGCCAACATCTATTCATATGCTCATCTGCCCCTGAGCGTGCATATCACTTATTTCTTAGTGCCTTAGTTTATTCATTAATTTCTTCCCTTTGCTGCTTCATCTTCTACTTTTTCTCTACATTTTTATTTTACATTTCTCTATTATTCCTTCTCTATCTCACTCTTTCCCCTCAAATAGTTTGTAAATTTTAATTATGTTCTTCACTAGGTCTTGTACTTTTTCATAGAAATGGACATTTACTCATCTATGTTGAATACAGGCTGATATGGTTTGGCTCTGTGTCCCCAACCAAATCTCATCTCCAGTTGTAATCCCCTTAATCCCTACATGTTAAGGGAGGGACCGGGGGGAGCTGATTGAATTTTGGGGTGGTTTTCCCCATGCTGTTCTTGTGATACTGAGTTCTCACAAAATATAATCATTTTATAAGGCAATCTTCCCTGCTCTTGTGAGCTCTCTCTTTCCTGCCACCAGGAAAGGTCTTTGCTTCCCATTTCACCTTCCGTCATGATTATAAGTTTCTGAGGCCTCCCCAGCCACATGAAACTGTGAGTCAATTTAACCTCTTTTCTTTATAAATCACCCAGTCTTGGAAATTCTTTATCGCAGAGTGAAAATGGACTGATATTCAGGTTAAACATTTCTGTTTAAATATTTGATGTGATCACTAATTTCTATGATTCATGGCACCTGATTTATTAAAACAAAATGGCCCATTTGTGACCTACATCTTCCAAAGAATCAAATCAAAATCATAATGAATATATTAAAGAAGAACATGCAAAAGAAAGATGAAAATGATAGGCAGTAAGTTATTTTAAGTCTCCAAAGTTTATCATAAAACATATTGGTACCTGACCTGCTTACCATGTAGACACAAAAATTTATAGCAATAGCATATGAGTTAATCACTTCTTACGTGTCTCATGTCATTCACCTCTCTGCACAAATTTTAAAAAATATATATTAATAATAATCACCAATAAAAAATTACTAGATCTATAGAGACTATCAGGCATCCTAACTGAATCATAGATAAACATTACGATGTTCCATCCACCAGGAAAAAAACACTTCCAATAACAATGAACATGAAGGCCATATTTAGAAAATTGTGAAACAAAAGGAAATTTATCTATCTCTTTTGTCTCATTTTATTCCTTCTCTATTGACCAATCCCCATCAACAATTATAAACCTTCAAAATATGAAATTGTTATATTAGGTGTGCCTTATATAAATTAGTAAAAATGAGTTTAAGATATAAATTTTATTTGACATAGTTTTCCTTAATTAAAACAAATATTATATTTGTTTTAGATTGACTATTAGTAAATTCTCAACATTTACTTCTCTAAATCAAGAGAGGCTTGGAAAACAGAGATACCAGTTTTACTTTTATTCCTGAAATGTAGAAAATCCCTGAAACTTAAAAAAAAATAATGAAACTCACGGTCATAAATGTTATACTACTTCGTATGACTTTTTCTATCCCTAAGGTATCAACAGGTCCACAAATCCTGTCTGGCAAAGTAAAGGGGAGAATTGTATCCATGAATATATGGCAACAGAAATTACTGGTTAACTCCCAATTAACAATTTTGATTCTACTTTTTGCATTATGGAAAGATTCTGAGAGCCCCTTTGACTTTGTGAGCATCTAAAGTTGTCTTTACATTTTCCTCGAGCGTCAAAAATTAGTAGCAATTTGATTTGTCCATTTTATTTATTTGATTATTCATTTGTATTATCTATGTTTTTCCTCCCTTCCATTTAAGTAAAGTAAAATACTGAGGTTAATGTAACTCAGGGGCATGCCCTTTCTCTGCAGAGGTGATGCATGGTTAATAGCACATGTGAAATAATTCAATCATTGGCTCCCTAAAAGCTGTAAAGAGCCTTGACCAGTCTTCCATGTACAAGCTTTGTTTTAGAAGTACACATAGCTCATTTTTGGAGTTGAGTGGGGAAGTCTGTGACATATAGCACATAGACTGATTCTAACAGATGGATTTTTCTTGAAATAGCTTCATTAGTTAATCATTTCTTTTACATATACTTTTTTTTCTAGCTAATTGGCATAGCTGCCAGCTGGAGCTTGGGATTTTCCAAAGAAGCTGATAGGTAGGGAGAAAATCCAATCATCTTACCAATTTCTAAGATGAAAGTTCTATTAATTTCACGATACCCATTATGTATTTTTAAAGTAAAATGTTTAAAAAATATTTTCTCTTATTCTAAATACCTTATTTTGATCTGTGTGAAAACCAAATCAATCAATCAATTATCTGGAAGAAACTTTAAACTTTAATAAATTATCTAGACCAGGTTTTTCCAACATTGGCATTATTGACATTGTAGACCAGATCATCCTTTGTGTCTGTGTGGGGTGGGGGAGCCATCTTGTGCATTCTACATGGTTAAGCAGCACTTCTGGCTTTTACACCCATACATGTCAGTAACATCCCCAGTTGTAACAACCAATAACATCTGTAGACATTGCAAAATATCCCGGGGGACAACATTTCCCTAGTTGACAACTGCTCTAGAAATAGATTGTTCCTAGTTTTAAATTCAATTCTTAAAAGAATTTTACGTATGTATGTACATATGCATGAATATAACCCCAGACATGCCTAATATATTAGAAATGTCTGCTTTTCAGTTAGGAAATTAAAATGTTTTGGAGGCAATTGAAATAGCTAACATTTTCAGAAATCTCTGTGTAAAGGGAAAAAAGAATTAGTGGCTTATAACTATCAAGGAATATTAATTATATTAAAAATGCCATTATCATTTTCATCATCAAATATATTGAGGATTTCTTTTCCTTTAAGGAAAGTTCGCAGTATGACTATATGAATAGATAAATAAAAAATCACGTGAGGGATTACGTGAGATGTAAGAGATTAATTATCAGCTTAGGGGCCTAAGGCATTTTTAAGTAAGAGAAAGAAGTGTAATTTAATGAAATGGACGTAGAAAAAACTAATCTGGGTCTGTTTTGACTTTACCATATACTTGTGTGATTTGGAACTCATAAAATAGCTATCCAGATATAGAAATTTCGTGGTCTTTGAAATTCAGTAGTAAAAATAATGTTCACCACCTTAGTGATTCTTCTGTTATGTATTGATGGATCTAAGAAGAGTACCATAGAAATAGATATGAATCACCATGGCTTTTACAAGGAAAACAATGGTTCTATTCTCATTTATAGTAAAGGTAAAAATATAAGAACATGAAGTATACAGAGAAAATCATTTGTTATGGCAAAGAAAAAAAAAGATCCTAATCAAACTGCTTTCTTTCCAACAGAGGTTTTCTAATACGAATTTGCTTACGAAGTTTTTAAATATAAGATGAGGGTAAGTTTTAACATTTAACAATTTCAGGTTTGAATGTTTAATTCTCACTCCCCCGCCCCCATACCTCCAAATCAAGATATTTACCTAAAAATTCAAGAGTGGTCTCTGTTTTCACTGTTTGACTTTCCAGGGCCATTGTAAGAATTTAGATTGTATACTTTATTTTTTTAATCACTCTGCTTTTAAATAGAAAATGTTATATTGTGCAGATTGTCATTTTTAATTCTTTCAGCTACATTCAAGATACACTACTTGGCTTAGTATGGCAAAAGTGAATTACCACATTTTGCATGTTAAGATTGCAACTAAAAGGCCTCAAGACCACCTACTCCATGTGTTATCTGCACATACCTAAAATTCCATAGCGGTTCCTGTTTTCACTTTTCAGCTTTCCAGGACCATTGTAAGAATTTAGATTTTATATCTTATTTTTCAAAATCATTGTTCTTTTAAATAGGTATTGGTATATTGTGCAGACTACCATTTTTAATACTTTAAGGATACGCGATTTGGCCTAGCATGGCAAAAGTGAACTAACACATTTTGCATGCTAAGATTCCAACTCCAAGGCCTTGAGACCCAGGACTGCGTGCGTTATACGCACACAATGGACTTCACCCCGGTTTTAAGCCTGGCACTGGGCTCTGGGCTCGGCAGGCCCTGCACACTTACTCTCTGCAGGCTCTTTGGAGCGCCGGCCACTGGATGACTTGCGCAGCAGGCTGCGGCCGGAGGAGAAGAGGCTGGTCAGCTCCTCCAGGGGGCTCGTGGGTGTCCGGGACCGGGAGCCACCCGGGGCCGCCCCGTAGGTGTTTACCGCCGCGTTGACCATCTTGGCCCCATCTTGCGACACGGGTCTGGGGGTCGAGTGAGGCACTGAAGAAGAGCTCCTGGAGAGGCTGCCCGAATGCACAGCGTCGTAGGGGGGAGGCCTCTTGAGGCTCAGGGGAGTCAGGGACCTCCCCATGCTGACCGGGGAGGGAGACGTGGAGTGGCTTTTAGGGTAGCCGTGGGGGGACTGGGTTCGGTACAGCGTGGAGGGGGGCGGCGGGGACGAGGAGAGCGCAGGGGTGGCAGAGGCAGGTCCCAGGGCCGCGGCCTGCTCCTTCTCCAGTTTTGCATGGCTGGGGACGTGGGGCGGCAGTGCGGAGGGCGACGCCCCCGCTGGCTGTTTCATGTAAGACACGTTTTCCAGCACGGGAAGCTTGGTGACCTCCAGCGGGGTGAGCGGGGACTCGTCGGAGTTGGGGGAGCAATGCACCGGGGCGGGAGGGAACACCAGCAGCGGGGGTCTGTGAGAAAGCAGGTTGGGGAAGGGCGGGGGGATGCCGCAAAGCAGCCCCTTGGGGGGGCATGGCACTGAGGCCTTGGCGAAGTCCAAGTCAGGCACCGTGGGAGTAGCACACTGCGAAGAACAGCTGTGATGGTCGAAATCACATTTGGCGTCCTGGCCCAAGTCGTCAAAGATGGGGTACTTCATTTCCTCGTAGACGGCCTCGCTCTGGTCGTCGTCCTCCTTCCTGAAGTCTCTGAGAATGTTCCCCACCATCTCGATGTACACGGGCTCCTCTTCCTCGGGGTCTCCCGCGGGGCTGCCCATCTGGGACAGGGAGGAGTCCCGGGGCAGCGACGTCCTCCGGGGCCCCCCGTGCTTTTTGATGTACGTTTCATCGAAAGATGTGCTCAGTTGAGTGTTCGGATTCCGCTTCGGTTTGGGAGGTGGAATCTTCTTGGAATATTCATCACTGTGGGGTCTTGGTTTGGCCGACACTAAAAAACAAAAAACGTAGTGAAATTGATGAGTATCATAGGAAAGTTTTCAAAAATGATTTGCACATGGGTTTACCACAATAAACTTTAGACCAGGGGGGTAGTCTGATTCATTCTTAGTTTGAGGGTCAGAGTAAAAGTCAACCAAAGAGATAAGCATTTCCCATATTTAGAAAGCCTGATGGCAGAATAATAATCATCTTTAAACTGATATTAATCATCTAACACTGATAAGTGCATTAAAACCAGGACTGTTCACCCCTTTGCCCTAGAATGCCTAAATGAAAACTTTCAGATTTAACATATTGGATAAATGCAATCATAAATTTTGTAAAAATTAACCTGCTAGAATTGAGAAAGAAACGCAGGAGGAAAAAAAACAATTAGAGTCTCTGTTAGCACTATTGGTCAAAAACACCACACAGATTGCACCCTTTTACGATGTGGTTTTTTCTAGGTGAACACATCTTGCTTGCATTTAGGATGAAAATTTCCCAGCCTGCTAGACTTAATATCTGTCTTAGCTCACATAAATAGCTGCCATACAGACAGGTCTGATATTTCTGGGGAAATTGATGTGAAAATCTTATGAGGCTAGACAAGTTAATCTTTATATCACCAAGTATTGTTGATTATGGTGTATTTGTTTGTGTTTGTTCTTCAGGCCTCTTATGATATTCCAAATGCTGTCTCAGAGTGAATTTATTAGATATGTTCCACTGACACTTCAGAACACCCTTTTAAAGAGAATAACTCTGAGAATGATATGGAAGATTCAAGAATAACTTCTGGAAACTCACAACAGATATGTGTACCAATGAATCGCACAGCCTGCTGGATGCCCCTTTATTGACAGAATATAAACTGATACCATATAGTAGCATGGAACAGGCTGGCAAATGCCAGTGACTAAAAGTAATTCTTTAGCATGCAAGGAAGGTACTTGAGTCTTGTTATTATGTAATTATCTCATCGTGTTGGTATACGATTACAGTGATTACTATGCAATGTAGCAGAATGTAGTTGCTTACAGTAGATGGTAGCATATACTGTGAGCTGATGGTACAGCTTAGAGTTTTAAGACTATGAGGAACTAACAAGCTAAAGAGAAGAATCTCAAGGCACAAATCGGGAAACACCTGAATTTTCCTTTCTTATTTTTTTTAATTGGCCTAATTTATATAGAATAGTTGTACTAAAATGTGGTAAAGGAGTGGAAACTGCTTAAGGATAATTTAGATGGCTGCTCCACCTGTCAGTCGAGCCTTCAGCAACAGGGAATCAATCAAATATTCTAGCAGTGACTCTGTGTTTCACCTTTCTAGATCACTCCCGTTTCAAATATTCTGTCCCAACATGCCTATGATGATGGTTTTACTCACTACAACCAAACTGCTTTTTGAGGGGAAGTTTTGTAATGTGTCTAGAATTTGCATTAACCCATACTGGGTAGAACTAGATGTTATTTTCCAGGGGTGAAAAGCCTAGAGACAAAATGGGGTGAAAATGATGCAGTCAGTCTTTTTAGGAGGGACCCAAAGCAATGAATAACTGTACCGCCTAATTTGGCATATGTTATACTGGTATTGAAATCTGAGTACATTAATTTTCATATGATTTTAGTAAGTCATCAGATTATACACAAAAATCTGAGCCCCAATAAAGTAAAACTATAAATCAAAGAACAAGGTTAACATAGTTGCGGTCAGCACTTAGAAGAACCAAAGTTCATCCAGATTATTCTTCTGAAACATGTTTCCTGCCCTTCTCAATAGAAAGAAATGACTGTTGACCAAATACAGGCTCTGGGAAATTATTTGCCACAAATACTGAGTTCTAGAGATTGAATGGAGAGAGTCTGAGGGAATTCTTTGAGAACAGAAGACTGAGAGAGAGGTGCTCTAAGAATGGAGGGGTTAACCTAAGGCTAGAAATTAGTGTGTGTCCATGAGATGGGTAATTTCATCATATGGCAATAATTGTATTTAGAATGGTTTTCATTTTTCATCCTCTATAATTTGCTTTTGTTTTCTTTGACTCTTCACTAAAGCCTGATACTCCAACATAGACTGTGGAGAGAAATAACAGGGTAAGAACTTAAGCACCTGCTGAGCCTATGCCTAGGTAGCTGCACTGCACTGATGGGAGACTACAGTGTGGGATTCCCAGGCAGTGAGGCTGTCAGTGGCAGCTCTGAGCATGGCATGGAATTCAGGGAAGCAATGGTTGATGAACAACACTGGCAACAACTTCTCCCTTTCCCACACAGATGAGAAGGTGGCCTTTGGAATGGAAGAGAGATATGATTGGATTTACTCCAATTGTGAGCAAATGCCATTTCATTTTCTTTGCCAAAAGAATCAGAAATGAAATAAAGCCCCTCTATATCCATCAAATGATTTAAGAAAAAGAAGTTTCTATTGCAGAACACAGCATACTTAGAATTAAGTAGAACAACTATTGATTGAAAAGGAGTCTGGACAATCCATTTACGAACAATTTCAATGATAAACCAAGTATAGACGTTGTATGACTAGGGAAACAAAATATAGCATATGGCTTTTATGTTGTCTGTGTGATGATCAGAACTGACAGTTGCTGTTGACTGAATTGTGTCCTCATTCTTCTGCAAAAATATTCAGCTGTTGAAGCCCTAATTTCCAATGCGATGGTATTTGGAGACAGATCCTTTGGGAGATAATTAGGCTTGGATGAGGTCATGAAGGGAGGACCCTCATGATGTGACTGATTATAAGAAGAGACAGCAGAGAGTTCTCTCCTGGCGCGTGCACACCCTCTTTTTCTCTCTCCCCCACCTCCCTTCTCTCTGTCTGTCTGTCTATCTGCGTGTGTGTGTGTGTGTGTGTGTGTGTGTGTGTGTGTGTGTGTGTGTACGTGCTATATGAGAACACAGAGAGAAAGTATCAGTCTAATCAATCTACAAGCCAGGTAGAGAGCCCTCACCAGAAACTGACCATGCTACTATCTTGATTTTGAACTTTTAGCCTCAAGAATTATGAGAAAATTTCTCTAATTTAAGTCACTCACTAATTTTGTCACAGCAAAATGAGCTTAGCTACCTAAAACAACATCATGCTTATTAAGTCCTAATGTAAAAAGCCCTTCACAGATGAATGATGAACATTTTAATTTCATCCTCTGGCACTGGAAAACTTTAACTAACTTTATTATTTTAAGATTAAAACAACTCTTTCCAAGGCCTTTAAATTTCTCCTGCTCCCTGTCCCTCCTCAATTCTTATAACTATGTCACAGAGAACACATTCTGGCTATATTCTCATCCCATACATAGGCCAAGAGCACCCTTCTGCCACATGGCCTGTCATACTCTCTCTTCTTGATCTAGTTCCTAATTTGTGGAAGACACTTACTACTTAAATCTGGCCCATTCTCTGGATGTTTGCTGCTTGTTGTTTGTTCTGATATACTTATTCCCTGCTTCATGCTGCTCTGCTTGTTCAGCCCACAAGCTGAAGTCAATCTCTATCCAGCCTTGCCCAGGGGAATCCCTCTTTATCTAGACAAGGTTCTTCCCTCTTCCATTCCCTGTTTGGTGAAAAGAGCCTAACACAGGCAGATTCATGAAGTTCAAGCAATTTTTCCTCTGGTCCTTTTTTTAAATATTGATCCAACTTTAAAATGAAGGTCAGGAGTTTGAGACTAGCCTGGCAAACATGGTGAAGCCCCATCTCTATCAAAAATACAAAAGTTAGCCAGGTGTAGTGGCACATACCTATAATCCCAGCTATGTCAGGAGGCTGAGGCAGAAGAATCACTTGAACCTGGGAGGCAGAGGTTGCAGTGAGCCAAGATCACACCACTGCACTCCAGCCTAGGTGGCAGGGCGAGACTTTGTCTCAAAAAATAAATAATAAATTAAATTAAATCAAATTAAATTAAATTAAGTTAAATGAGAGTGTGAGGATATTTAGAGAATAGAATCTTCTGTAAATTACAGATGATCAGGATGAATTAACAGATCCAGTCTTTCAATATGGGGGTAGGAGCTTTTTAAAAAGTCTGCTTTTTATTCCCTGCTCTCCCTCCTTGCAATCTCATGGTTCTTTGTGGTAAATCAGAGGAGGAAACAATTTTCTTTCTAATAAACTGATTTTGATTTTTACTTTCATTTTCCATGAAACATCTGGTTTTACATTAATGCAAGTATTGAGTAAGTAATTTATATAACAATGAAAATCTGTTTCAACTGCCACTGTCATGAGTACCATTTTAACAGTTTATCTATATAAGTCTGAAATTTCAGACGTTGTCCGATAATTTATTCCAACCTAATCTCATTCTACGATCTTAAATATTAAAGAAGATTTTATTTAAAATGCCATTTCTTTATAAGGTACTTAAAAATAGTCTTGAGCTACATACATAGATGCTAAAATTCTGCTAATAAAAGACAATAAAATGGTACTGCAAATTTCAACATTTAACCAAATTCAAACATGATAAAAAGGTGATTTTTATGGCTCTTGAATAAATTTTAAATTATTTCTAATAAGCCCAAAGATAGAAGCAATAATTCCTGTTCAGCTCCAGAATACAAATTTTCATGCTTAAAATAGTATGACAGTAGCATTTAATAAGCAGAAAGTGACATTTTGGAAATGAGCTATCTGAGCACAAAGGTTATGCATGGCTTTCAGTCATGCCTAGATGATCTTCCTTTCACAGTTAATTTTGGAAATTCACCACGTGCCTTGTCAACCTATCTTTAGGAAATACTTTTTTCCTTATTAAAAAAAAAAGTGTAATGCAAAACGATGCCTTAATAGCTGTAGGTGTTCTTGACCCAAGAGGTGAAAAAAATAGATAACACAGGTCAGCTTGTCCCTTCCTAGAAAGACTGTGACTACAGAATCCCAGAATATGAAGGGCTCTTTGAGATATCCCTCCCAAATTCCATATACTACTAATGAACAAATACAAATCCTTTCTCTCTTTCTTTCCTTCCTTCCTTCCCTCCCA